AAACGAGCATGATTTTCTCTGAATGACCAAGCGTTGGACGAGGTGTCATAGAAAACAGCAAAATTTTCTTTGGCGCAGGTTGTTCTGGAACATTTGTGGCATCAACGGATCATCCGTTTGTCAGGTACGAGTAAAGTGCATAGTGGGACAGTTCAGGCACGATCACTGTTTAGTCTGGGAAATGTAGCCATCACACAGCATAGATATAAATTTTTGACGATATGACAACCGTAAATGTTTTTCCGGGGCCTGTATTCACTGTTAACAGATTTGGTCCACTTACTTTTATGTGCTTGAGCTCAAGTACTCAGCAGACTATCCCCCGTGAACTAATGGGCGAGGCAACCGAATGTGGCCCGAGTCCCAGCATGGACTGGAATCCTCGATGGGCACTTTTTCTGGGGAGGGGGCTAACTGACGTACTGAGTGGGAGGAAAAGTACGAATACCATAAACTCAAAGGTTCAGTGAAACATGAACACGACTTAGAATCAGACTGAGCGCCAAGTTACCGAGGCCGTTAAATTACTGGTAGTCGATGCGGTTGTTCGGTGGAGGATTAGCTTTGGTCACAGTGTCATAAAATAGAATGGTGACCATGGCTGTGTTAATAACATAACATTCTCAATAAAACGCGCGGTGGCACTACCAGGGTGTGGTGGGTTTCGGTCTGGTCACCTGGCTCCTGTGGCTTTTAGCCACATAAGCCCAATCACGGTGTCGTGTTAAAGGTCGATGTGACTGGCCTTTTAAAACTAAAGTCATTGACCCCCTCACTTCCGAGCCGAGGGTTTACTTCCTGCTGCCTTGCAGTTCGCACTTGGTTGTGCGAAGGCTAGAGGTGCGCCCTCGAAATAAAAAACCAAGTGACATCTGTCGTACGAAACTCTCACGTAACTTCATGATTATGATCGTGGAGCCGGCTTATCCTTCCCAAGAAGCTAGCTGTGGTAAAGTGAAGAAAAATAATAAAACAGCACACGGCGCATCGATTCTTCTATGCACTCCTAACATCATAATGTCCTGATACACTAAGGACGGGGACCAGTTGAGTGAATCGACTTGTCAATCCGACTCGTGGATAAAAGTCTACAGGATTCTGTCAGTTGCAGGATACATGGTTGCATAACTCGGTATAGCACGTTATCTATATTTCTACATGTGGCGAACAGTGGGCGTGTTGAACTCTGCGGTCATTGAATTTAGCCGTTCATTCACAGCTCGTGGTGTTCAGGCAGCGCGACGGAAGTTTTCCGCTGGCTATTTGCATACTTAGCATTTTAATGTGATAACTTAGCTCTTATTGAAGGTGCTAATTCATTTGGTGATTTATTGTCCTCATAATCGTCTGTTATGAATTGCCATTTTTCCTGTTCGTGTTCAGGTCTGTTCGAGGATTGGACTCGGGGTGCCCATCCAGACCTCCTTAGTTTCGTCCCATGCACCTATAAGTTTCGTATCGTCGCGCGTGATTTAAATTTCGTTCTCCTGGCGAATGACTACAATTGGATTTCATCTACAACCGAGAACGGTAAATGAAGCGAATCTTTATAACAAATTACCGAAATTTGTTTCAGCTCATATCTCGGCCTGGGGCAAGCGTTATTTGTTGTCGTTCGATTTGCCATTCATTGATTTCCTCCCGGAAACCGTACCGATTGTATATAAAATTGAAGTAAGTCCA